GTACTTTATAGTCTTTCATGTACTCGGAATTTCCAGGGTTTATGCGCATGTTCACTGTTATTTTGATATCCCTGGAATGTCTCCAAGTAGTTGCTGTATTAACTGCTGCCAGATTTCTGTCGTCGATGTGATGCCGAACATCAGTCGAGTGGGTTGATAAAGTGCAGTGGGTATATAAATGCATATATGGAATACTTCTATATTGGCAGTACGGTGAAAGTACATCCGCCAACATTAGACTGCAGATATATAATGTTAGAGCGAGAAAACCAACCAGCCAATGTACCCAGAATTACGTTTTAAAACAATAAAAAATCAGAAATTTTAATTTTAAAAGCAAAAATAAAAAAAAAGGTGAGGAGCTGTGCTGTTTGTAGAAGCAAAAAAGTAAGGAACATGAAATCGTATTGCATGCGTCATTATGTTGTACTACTTGAAAATGAACCGTATTGGGAAAAGTGGGCAGACGCTACATGTCGGCTAAGGCGCTGGAAAGGAAGGCACGCAACCGCACTGTATATTTTTTAAGAGTGGTTACGGTAATCTTGTTGCTTATTCAAATCCGCCGGTTACCACAAAGCTTGCACCAATCAGTTTCAGGGAAAAATGTTTGGTAGTTTATTTGTTTATCATTTTTTATTTCAAACCAGCGAAGCCAACTCGTGGGGAGTTCCCCGATATGCGGAAACTTTCAGTTTGCGTGGGGAATCGGCGAATGGACCATTTTTTGTGGGGAATTTCAGTTACCGTACGGAATCGGGGGTGAACTGTTTTTTTGTGAGGAATTAAGTGTGACAAATTTTTTTTTCTTTTTTGCTTCACTAATTTCATAATGAGTTAAAAAAGTTGCATAAGAAATACAACTGCAACTAAAAGTACTGATTTTGTAACCCTGCCAATTATGCAAATAACCGTTGATTTTTCAAAATAAATAAATAAATTTTATTTTTATATGGACCCACTGGGAAAATAGGTAAGCACCTTACGAGGTAAGCCATGTTTTCTTCTAGTTTTTAGTACCAAAATTGTCATCATGGCCAATGTCATCTACTAGTAAAGCGCAAAATGAACACCTCCGACGACACATTACGTTGTTAGTTGCAAAATAACGTGCAGCCGAAGTTATTTGCTAGCACCGAACTACTCCGGGCGACTGCTCTGCATTAAACGTAACTTATTTTGTAAAGCGGCTCAGAAGTATGTCTGATACCAAATGTATACATATTCTCAATTCCTACTGACATAAGGCGGCCACGTCTTTGTTAAAGTAAGGGAGATTCGTCAGTGACGTGGTAAGGACAGCCGGGTGAAGTGTAAGTTGCTGGTAAGGTATTGCCCTTCACCTGGCGGTCCTTACCACTTCCCTGCCGAATGGCTTACCTCGTAAGGCGCTTACCTATTTTCCCAGTGGGGAAGAAAACCGCAACCAACACCAAACAAAATTCTAAAAGGAAACTTTTTTAGCCACTTGAAACTTGCGCTTTATTATACTAGAACTGAGTGTGCTACAGTACTGCATACCCAAAATCTTTCTAGGAAATCGAATTTAGAAAGCTCGAAATTTATTCGAAGGTTTGTTGAACTTTTTTTAATATTGCACAAAGTCTGAAACTTGGATGTATACGGTTTTTATTGGAGAATGAACTTTATTTTTATAAAAAAATAACTCAAATTAAATAGCAAAAAAACTAATTGTGAAAACTTGTCAAAACTTGATGGAACTTACATTTTTTCGACCACTGTATGTATGTAAGTAAGTATTATATGTACATTTTTTATTATTTATTTGTTAACTTACTTTACAAAAGTTTAGTTTGATTTATAAATACATAGATAAATTGCATTCTGAAATAAAATAAACAGAAAGACCAGCAATATATCAAAATAAAATTTTTTTTTTTTAATAAGGTGAAGGGTTGGAATTCTACGAAATTTCGGGCAAAATCGGGGAATTTCATAGTCGAAATCGGGGAATTCTTAAAAATTAGTTTGCTACCCTGTTTAAACCGCTTTTGGAGTGACTTGACAGTTGTTTGATTGCAGTAGTTTACAAATATACATTTATACTAACACAGGTAAACATTTATTTGATAGGCTGTCTCCCTTTGATTGTAGAATGAAAACACATTGTGAAGATACGTTACTATCAATATAGACGTATTACATACGTATATGGTTGAGTGTGACTTTAAACACATTTTGCGCCGTGGAAGGGCAACATTTTTGAAAGAAACGAAATCACCATAAGTTTTTTTTAAATATCATAGTAGACCATATGAAATGTAAACGAAAATTGAAAAAAAAAATATAAAAAAATGGTCCTGAGGTAAGCAAACTTTCCAAAAGATGGTTTTCAATCTCCTTTTTATGAAAAACGGGTCAATTTAGAATTTTCGAGAAAAAAATAAGAACGATATTTGACCCGTTAGAGACCAAATAATTTGAAAAATAAAAAATCAGATCAGCTGATTTGCTGATAGCACCCTTTCAATATACCTTGATTGCTACTGAAATAAAAATTCATTTAGCAATGTTTCACCACTGTTTATTCATATCTGGATTACGGCAGCGCCACAGTGGCACAGCGTTGTGTGCACCACGCCTTATAAAGATACCTGCTCGCTCAAATGAAAAAAATATATATTTTCCATTTACGATTAGATTTTATTCTTAGATTACTTATCCCATTATATATTGAATTTCCCGAATATATTTTTTTCTGTTATATTTCAGCATGGACGAATGTGAGCAGCTATGCAATAGATTGGCGATAATGACAGGTGGAAAATTTAAATGCTCAGGATATGTACCTGACTTAAAGAAACGGTTTGGGACTGGCTTTACAATTAAATTGAAATTAAAGTCTGAAGAAGATTATGTGGTAAATGACGTTACAGAAGCATTGTGTAAAATATTCGATGATTGCCAGTTGAGAGAGAACCACGCTGGTATGGTTACATATTTTATAAAGACTATTGATGACCTTAAATGGTCTGAAGTTTTCACAAGCATGGAAGCCTTCAGTAGGGAGTGGACGCATTTTGTTGAAAACTATTCAGTAAACGAGACAACACTGGAGGATATATTTTTAAAATTCGAAAACAGCCAAAGAAGGGCAAGTGCTCAGCAATTACGTCATTCAAATGAGATTGAACCCTAAATAGTTTAAATTACTGGGTGTGACTTCTTTATCTCACTCTATTTCTCTCGGGTTTAATGCCCTTCATAATTATCACCGTATTATCATTTTTAAGAGCAAATATTCTTTTCGAAAGCAAGTGATATGATGAAAAGTTATACATACATATACATATCGTCGATGTTTTTGCAAAACCGCCCATCGACCAGTTGCAAAACCGCCTAAATCGTCATTGTGACAAAAATAAGATTTGGTAACCCTGAACTCCAGGCATCGAGATTTATGCATAGGAATCATAAAATCGTTATTAAAACGACAGATTTGTAAAATAATAGCTAGAGAAAATATCGCCTATCAAGGCAATGCCTTCAAAGAAAACCCGTTTTTTCGCTCTCCTGTAAAATTCGAGTGCCGTAAGATAGGCGGTTTTGCAATTGGTCGATGGGCGGTTTTGCAAAAACATCGACGGTATACAAATGCACGAATAGGTAATACGTATATTACAACGTGCGACAGAAACAAAAAAAAAATTCAAAACATACGAAGGAATATACTCACGAAACTATTGGCCAAATATAGTAAAACTGCGTTTTTAGTTTTTCACTCTGACGTCAGGATTTTTTTCAAAGGACTTTGAAATTTTAAAGATATGATTCATTCAATAAAATCAGTGCAATGTAGAATAAAAATATGGGTACCAAATGAGAGAGAAAATTCTGTTTATTTTACAAGGACGAATAGGTATTGAAAATGCACTTTTAATAAATTGTATCTTTTTAAGTTAATAAAGTTTGCAGGACGAAATTCGATGAAGAGGTCGTGCGTTTATTAGTCCTCAAACAATTTTTTTTAAAAATAAATATTGCAAATTTTCAAGGATATTGAAGGAAAAAATTTGTAAAAGACATTTTCCATGCCCATTTGTCCTTATGCACCAAAAAATTAATTCTGTTATAATTCTACAGCATTTTTTCTTTTATATGATGCCATTATTATCCTAAATTGCACTGAATTTTATGAATAATTTTTTGAAATAATCATATTTTTTAAATTTCAAAGTCCTTTTGAAAAAAATTCTGACGTCAGAGAGAAAACCTAATTACGCAGTTTTACTATAATTTACCCATTGTTTCGCGAATATATTAATTTTTTTTTTGTGTAAAATTTACTGTCGCACGGTGTTATATATTCCTAGAATTAATTTTTCTAACAAGTGTTTTATATTTTATTGCATATTAGAATTACGGAAGAAAGGAAATGTGCGAGAGTGTCACAATCATTAAATACACTACTTAACTATGTATGTACAAAGGTATGCATATAAATTACTGTCGAACTTCTCTATAGTGAATTCCCACGGGACCAGAAAATTATGTACTTCACTGTATAGAAACTTCATTATAAAGAAATTATTATTTTTTTCAATTTTATTTAAAATAATCAGTAAGTTTGGTTTGAATTACACTCTTCCATTTTTCATCCTCAACAAAACCTTCCAAATTATTTAGAGAGTTGTACACTGAGGGAAATAATGCATAGTAAAACTGAATATTTTATATTTGATTATCGTTAAAAAATGTTCGTATTTAAAAATAATATTTTCATACAAAATTTATTACGTACGTATTTGACTGTTCTCATCTCAGTATGTATATGGAAGTGTACATACGCACCCCAAGCATGCAGTGCGTCGCTCTGAGAGCGGTGACAACACACGCATACATACATAGTACATGTTTATCTGTACAAATCGCGTGCTGTGGTGTTGATGGAAATTCAACATTTGAAAGCAAATTTATATGTCTGGGTGTAGCTGAGTGCGCAGAGATGCTTTCCACAATTTGTTGCTATCCAGAGAGATGGTCAGGGTTCGAATTCCACTGTAGGCAGCATGCAAATTAAATATTTTTTTTATAGTTTTTGTCGTGATGATTATTCACTTCACGGATGCTTTTTCAGAACGAACGCGGTCATTTTAATATGCGCGTAATTGAATTGAATATTTACCAATATACAGTACTTTCGTTGACGTTTATAGTAAGATCAATTACGTTTATACTGGATTTTAATATTTTTTCCCGTCAGTGTACACATTAATCGGTACGTTACTCCTCTTTTCTACAAAGGTTCTAATTAAGTTAATTGATGAAGAAACTTGTCCTAACGTAGGCAGTGCCTCATCAGTATCTGCCAATTTTTCTTCATATTTATCTGAAAATGTAAAAGTAGAAGTAATGTGTATTACATTTTGTTTGACTATAGGTGAAAATTTTAAGGTAAATACCATGTACAGCCGGAACTCCGCGACTTTCCAGAATGCTGCTGAGGATATCTTCTTCGGACGGGCTGTCCGAATGCATCGATGTTTGCTACTGTTTTAAATGAAGACCGTAAAGCAGCCAAATCCGTTAATGAAAGAATGTCCTCAGTTCGATCCTGCATTACATCTTTTGAAAATCCTGCCTTTCTAAAACAGTTTGCAATTGTTTCTGGTTTCACATTGAAATTCCATACCGTGCCTAAATTTCGAATGGCATGCAGCAAATCTATGGACATAACAGGGGTTTCCTCCTCAATTTGTGCCAGTATATTCGTCAAAATTCGCTTTCTGTAATGTTGTTTCATGTTGTAGATAATCCCTTGGTCCATTGGTTGAAGTAACGAAGTCATGTTAGGAGAAAAATAAGCGAGATGAATGCTTTACAATTTGTCTTTTACATCTCTAGGATGCACAGTGCAGTTATCTACAAAAAACAATATCTTCCTTTTTTGAGCAGCAAATTTTTTGTCCATCTGTAAAAGCCTTTTCGTAAAAATCTCACTGGTCAGTCATGCTTTTTTGTTAAACTCGAAATTGACATCCAGCGATTTTATTCCTTTAAAGCATCTCGGATTCTTGGCCTTTCCGATTACAAGCAATTTAAGCTTTTCCGATCCAGTCATATTGCTTCCCACCAGGACAGTTATTCTCTCCTTGCTTTTTTTTCTGCCAAAGCATTTCTCATTTTTGAATGCCAGCGTTTTATTTGGTAAGCATTTGAAAAACAAAGCAGTCTCATTGGCATTAAAGATGTCGTTTTGATTATAAGTTTCAATCAATCTCGGCAAAACGTTCGTTACCCGTTCGTCACCATCTTGTATGTTAGTATCAGCACTTTCCCCACATATCGCTTTTTGAACAATACCGTGCCGTCTTTTGAACTTGTCTAACCAATCTGTACTCGCTTCAAACTCCTGGAGTCCTAGTGCTTCCGCGAACTCTTTTGCTGTCTGCTTCACTAATATTACAGATAAAGGAAGATTCTTACCACGTGCAGCGACTATCCATTTCAGCATTGCTTCATCAACATCCTCAAAAATGCAGGTTCGAAGTCTTCGAAGCTCGACCCTATTAAGCTGGCATTTCAGGGTACTATTTTATATATATACATACGGAAAATTTGAAAGTTAGGGGGGGCTCGAGCACCCCCCTGCAGCTACCTGGCTACGCCCATGACTGCAATAGTAGCTGAAATGTTTCTTTCGTAATTTTGGGATTCCCCTTATTTATTTCTCGGAACACGCAGTTATTAATAAGCGTAACAGAAATTTGTGTGTAAAAATTCACTATATGGAGACAAAAATGCATGAGGGTTGAATTTCCAGCTGCGGAATTTGTTCATTGTAAAGAAAAGTTCACTTTACAGAACTTCATTATAAGGAGACCAAAATACACCAAAACTAAAACGAAACAGCGGTGTTTGAAATTATTTTATTATAGGCAGAACTTCATTGTATGGAAGTTCATTACAGGGAAGTTCGACTGTATATCGTTACCTAAAAGTGCCAAGTTCAATTTTTGAAATCATTGAGGAGAGGCGAAAAATCGATGTAGGCTGTGTT